CTAACGAAGACGACTTTATTTCAAGGCTGTCCAGATAAGACTGTTTCAGAAGTGGAGAAAAAGGGTACTTTGGCCGATCGTTTTGTCTGAGGCTGTTGGGAACCTTTTCCCTTCTTCCCTCCTCCATACATGCATTCTCATTGTTGGTTCAGCCAAGACCGGCCTCCTGTACTGTCACCTCTGTGGAGCGGAGGAGAGGCAGTCTGCCCGCCAGCCCCTCTCTCAGCTGCCTCAGCCAAATACTACTCGCTAAACAAGCCAGGATTGTCAGACATTTCCTGCATCAGTCACATCTGGCCCTGTTGAATTCTGAAGGTCGGTTCTTCCGTCCCGCCAACCCGCTTCGTCCGCCCATGGACAGTCGAGACGGCGAGACCACGAATCGCCAGCCTCTGAAGATTGGGCCCGAACTAAGGCGAGGCTTCACCGATCAGCCGATCCGGCATTTGGATCCGAAATTGCTTCGTCACTTGGACCAGACGGTTAGACAATTGGCAACGGGCAGTTCAGACGATGCTCTCGTGTCTGCATGCCAGACCGCTCGACGGAGCCACGTCTACAACCCGCCAGACCTGACCTGCACAGGCTGTGAAGGGAGGATTGCCGGTACGAAAGAGCCTCGTCATGGGATGTGATCGAGTGCAAAGAGCGATCTGGTCTCGAGGCGGATCAGAGGCAATCACATGTTCGTGGTGTGCTTTGCTTTGCTCAAACCGCCATATGCCATCGATGTTTCAGGCTGCACCATCACATCTTTTCAGTTGACCCCACGCAAAACACTCTTCCCAGGATCTTTTCAGCCTACTCCCGTCTTCATGAATCCGCCGGAAGATCAACTCATGCTTTTTTCCCATGCCACAATACGAATTTTTCTCCCAAACCTAAACTCTCAACGCCCTCCCCCTCCCCTTCTCTCTCTCTCTTGCACCGGTGTCTGTGCCCATACTCGTCTCCCCGAATCTTCTTCTACCCTCCTTCAACCGGCCCCGCGACGCCACAGGAGTTTATCACCGCTTTCGACACCGACGAAGACGGGCGCATCAGTTATGACGAGTTTGCCGCTGGCATCGCCAGTCTAACACCGGAAATATTAGAGTGAGTCGTCAAGACTGTCCGCTATGGCTGCCAAACTAGGCAGCATATCGAGCCGGACTAAGCACAATCCTATTCTTTGCCTACATGTAGAGTTTCCAGACTACCATTAGACCATATATATGAGTTGGATTCGCTCTATATCGTTTTTAAGCTGATGAACGACTGGTAGCCGAATTTTCCCACAATTATATGCGTAGAGGTGATAATTTTCGCTGAATTTTGCATAGCCTTGTTTTACCAAAAGTTGTTCACATCCAGGTTGGACTGCAGTTTCAAACTCGCCTCGTTTTTATCAACACCCTCAGCGGGACTCGAACCATGAGAGCGCAGAGTGTGATCTTGACACATTGGCCATTACGCCACATTGCCATGAGTGTCGTTAGGCCCCAGGGCAGATGTGAATTTCAAGGATTGGTGGGATTGTCGATGAAATAGGATGAATACATCTTATATGACTGATTTACTGGTAGTCTCAAAACTCTACGTATAAACCAAAAATAAGTAATGTATTCGATTGCTATAGCAAATATAGCTTAGCTTCATCCACAATCCGACCAAAGAATGTGATATGGGAAAAGGGCTGGCCTTCCATGAAATTCACATCTGCCTTGTCACCCAAGGGCACTTGTGGCAATGTGTCAGTATGGTTACCGTGTCAAGCTCAGATGCTGTACTGTCACGCTTCGACTCCCGCTGATGTCGTTGATAAGACCGATGTGAGGTCGAAACTGCAGTCCATTGGTGCCTGAATGATAATAACTTATGGGAAAGCAAGGCTATGTGAAATCCAATGGGAATTTCAGGTCTACTCATAGG